GCAGCGATGATCATAGTGTGCCGGCCAGTGTGCCATGGTTGAAATTCTTAGCATCGCCCGCATTTTTGGTATTGATTTTGGTGCACAGCACACATAACTGGGGCTTCTGGACGCTGCTTACCGAAATTCCCACCTACATGAAGAACGTTTACGGCATGGATATCAAACAAAATGCGCTACTTTCGGCTTTACCTTATCTGGCTATGTTCATCATGTGCTTTGTCTTCTCGGCCATCTCATCGGTGCTCGATCGCAACCAATGCATACCACTTTCCATCAGTCGAAAACTTTTCAATTCGATCGGTCATTGGATACCAATGATATCGCTCATTGGCTTGGGTTATGTCAGTGCCGATCAAACTTCACTGGCAATTGGGCTGCTTACGATCACAGTTGGTATCAACGCGTCCACCTACTTGGGCTTCCAGGTCAATCATATTGATCTATCACCTAACTTTGCCGGCGTACTAATGGGCATCACCAATTGCGCGGCGAATATTATGAGTATTATAGCGCCGTTGATTGTTGGCTACATAGTTACCGAAGAGGTGAGTGGCAAAAAATAAAAATAAATAAATAAACAAATTTACAAATTTTATTTTTTTTTCAGGAAAATCCGGAACAATGGCGAATAATTTTCTTCATTGCTAGCGGTTTCTACTTCATCGGTAACTTGATGTTTGTCATATTTGGTCGCACCATAGTGCAGCCATGGAACGATCCGCAACCCCTTCCCTCAACGAAAAAGCGCAATTCCACGCAACTGGAGTCCCAGCATTAGATACGTTGGCGCTACACTAGCGTTTAGTTTTGCTTGATTTTGTTTTATTTTGAGTTTTTCATTAGGGCAATTCGTCGAAAGGCGCAAATGCCTCGTAACCACGTAAACCGCGTAAACTTAACTAATTTTGTATGGAAAACTGGTTTATTCACGAGTTTTACGCATTTGCGAGGCATTTACGCGTTTAGATGAATACCCATATTTTAATTTTTTTGTTCATACCGCTGTGGTATATTGTTATTTGCTTGTCTGCATTTGTCTGTGTGTAAGTTAAGATATTAAAATATCGACTCTATAGCAAATACTTCGTAAAGTAGGATTAAATTATCTACTAAAATTATGTATCATAATTTAGAAGTGTGATTGAACCAAGAACTAAGCAGTTTAAGCTTAATTTTAAAAGTAAACAAAAAAAAAACAAAGAAATAAAAAAACTAATAACTGAGTTAGGCGCATTATGCATTTCGCGAATGTTGAGCGGTAAAAATGGATAATTTGGAAGAATTAAGACAAATTTACATAATAAAGTGGAACAAAAGTAGAGCGAATTCTTTTTGGGTTTCGCTTAGAAGAATGACTTTCTCATAAATATAGTAAAGCAGCTAGTAAAAATCAATTAATTATGTTTGCTTAACTTATGCCGGATTTCCACTTGCCAATGAATGACACAAATTTTAAGGACAAAGTTGGGCATTAAAAATATCTGTTCCACTAAATACATTAAGAAAAAATTGTCACTAAATTCGGTTTCAAAGGGCATTTGTTAAATGGCAAGCATTTCTCGTCATTTTAATGCCTAGTGAAAATATGGCAGTATGAAAGAAGTTGTGAGTTCATTCAGAACAATGTAACTTCATATTAATTATTTCTTTTTAATACCAAGACCTAAATGATACTATTAACGGGGAAATCCTCCCTAAATTGTGTGGGATTTTCACTCTCCCACGAGGTTAAATATCTCGGTTAAATTCTCGATAGGAAGCTGAACTGGAAGCAGAAACTTATGGAACGATCCAGGAAAGCCATTACCACCCTCTACATCTATAAACCAGCGGCAGGAAAACGATGGGTTGCGAAACCACACATAATACACTGGTTGTATACGGAGGTTGTCCGTCCCATAATTTTCTATGGGATTACCGTATGGTGGCCGGCTCTAGAAAAGTCCACTTACAGCGGCGTGTTGAATCGGGTACAAAGGGCGGTAACCATGTTAGTCACGGGTGCGCTGCCCTCTACTCATAGTAGGGCTCTGGAGACTGTAATGAATCTTCTCCCTACCGACCTTTACGGTAGATATCAGGCCACCTGCAACGCAACTAGACTGAATGCCGCTCGTACATGGATATAGGCTTATTCACTCAAAAATGCTGGGCACCATTCCAGCAACGCTACTTTAGCTGGATTCCATTAGTCCAAACTTATGCTTCGAAAAAATGTGGTAAACCAGAATTCGCGACAGAAGGGACTGGGTAAACCGCTCGGACTTATGTAGATCCAGTATCTACCGCTATCTTTACGGACGAGTCAAAGCGCGACAATAAAGTTGGAAGCGGAGTCTACTCTAAAGACCTCTCGCTAAACCTAAGCAGCCGGCTTCCTGCATCGTTTTTCAGGCCGAAGTTCAGGCCTAACAACGTCGCCATTTGTCTACAATCCGTCACTATTTATTCTGATAGCCAAGTAGCGTTTAAATCTTTAGAGTGCAGTAAACCTTCTTAAAAAGTGGCTGGAATGAAGAAGTACTTTAAGCGAGCTTGCGGGGAAGGGGCGCAGTGGAATACCGGGAAACTGCGCGGCAGATGAGCTTGCGGGGTGGGAACTGAACTATGCCTTGTAAACTCTGCGCACGATCGGATGTCCCCCTGCCTTCAAGTAAGCACCCACTTCTGTCATACCTGCAGGGACGAGAAGAGGAGGTGAAGATTAGGGAGAACACTATCTCTGCAACTGTGCCGCTCAAGCAATTCTAGTGTTTAGCTGATCTCGACTTTGTGGACGTCCCCGATGTTCGACGATATGTTAAGGTTACACGATAGTTCTATCATATGGGAAACTAAGGGAAAGGAACCAGAGCTCATTTATAGTGGCATCACAATGGGGCAAACTGGCCTAGCGTGCAAACCACCGTAACCTAACCTAACCTAAACTAACTGAGTGATAATAGGTACGTTGTGCTACTCCGCAGAACACAGGTTCGATATCTGATGCGCGGAAGTTTCTTTTATGGGCTTTGCCCTTCCAAGCTCTGAATGTTATGGTATATTTAGGTTTGGTTTTGATTATAAAAACTCATAATCGGACAGACTAGGTTGTAGTGGGCATCCAAATCATGGTGAAGATACACTTAGGCCACTTGTGATACCCTTTTTGCTCCATTTTTCTAGAAGTATAATCAATTAGTTTTATTTATAAATCATTGAAGATCGCAGATTTTTAGGCGACCTTAAGTCTGCAAGACTATGGAAAAAGTATTTATGAAAACGTTGCCAGAGTTTCGGCAATCCTAGTAGTTGGTCCCGACAAAGTGCTCGACGCCTTGAATTTCCTCTATTAAAACCTATTCATATTGCGTGTATTCCCATTACTCAGTGACCACCGATTATTCCAACAGCCATCTTGCGTTGTTTGTCATAGATAAAAAGAATGCAAATTTGAGTTTTTCTCCTTTGAAAATGCAGATTACAATCTAACGTTTTCTTAATATGTTATTGTCGATATTAATGCTTTATTCCTCTGTCCCAATTCACCACCAGGCCCACGCGTTTTGCTTCTCTATCTAGTCATAATGAGGCAGAACAAATGTAGAGGTTGTTGAGCCTTTAAATCCGATGATATCAGCGTGCGCCAGTAATTCTACTAGGTATTTACCTGATCTGAAACCTTATTTGCTGGCAATGGCTATAGCTGGCTTTTTAAGAGGCAATTTTCTAGGCGATTCAACATTGCTGAAGAAAAATCGTAAGTGTAAATGGCGATTATCGCATGTCTAAAAATTTCCTCCTGTAAAGGCAGCTTAAGAGATATCCTTTTCAGGTCTGACGGAGCTAGAGTTTCTGTCCGGAACTAGAGTTTCAACTCAACGGTCTGTATAACCCGGAAGGAAGCAATATTTTTTCATAATTCAGGCGTGACCCAGCAATACCGATTCCCATTACCGTGTTCCTCTTAACCGAAGTGCAGCAAGAGATGACATCTGATGAGTGATAAACTGTTTAGTCAGCTGAGTAAATTTAAAAAAAAAAATATTAAAAAACAACTGTTTTTATTAATAAAAAACTCAATTTTAGGAGGTATTTTCAAATCCGTCCACCTAACGTAAATCTTAGTATTTTTGCGTGATATTTTGGTGGAAATCTTAAAAATATAATAGATTTTATAATTCCAGTGAAAAATAGTACCGATATTTTTTTTTTTTTTTTATGGGGAGTGATGCAGTCTTCTATACATAAGTTGACTATGATTACTCGGCCGTGCTATCATCGTAGCACAATGCCACTAAGTGCATTTTACAATTTTCAGGCAATAGCCTCATGGGATTATCTATTATATTTTTTGTTGTTTGTGTGAAATATTTTATTTTTATCGGTATTTTTCTCTTAATCAAAATATATTGAAATAAAAGTAAAAAAAAAAAAATTCCCAGATTTTGCATATACATACAAACATAGAACTGGAGAACAAAATATGAAGACAAACACCTAATTCGTCACCCAATACAGTACATATATTGATATTTTAAAATTAAATGAAAACTTTTAAATTTATAAATCAAATTATTAAGTAAACGTGCACAATTTACCCTACAATTGTGACTTAATTTTCCACCCCATTTTTCGACATATCAAAGTTTCAGTTCTCTTTATTAGATTAATCCAAATGTCAAATTTCCGAAATAAAGGCAATCGTAAAAAAAAAAAACAAATTTTGGTGAAAAATTAAATAAATTAAAAAATTGTACATGTGTACGTTTTGCAATCAGCTCGAATTTCTGATCCTGCTTACTTTTTACACTCGAACACCATTTCTTGTAGCCCAATGTGTACGCAAATATCTTAAACAAAAAGTATTGGCCTCTCATTATTTAGCGTTTGTTCATTCTCCTTTGCAGTTAAACATTTCGGTGTTCGACATTTGCAAACCCTTTTGCTTTTCGCCACAATGTCCGTTGTGTACGCGTTACGTGTTAATCTATCGGTGGCGATCGTCGTGATGACCGACAAGCATTCAAATCCGGATTTTGAAGTGATGCAACAGCTTTGTTTTCAATTTGCCTTTAATATGAAAATATCGTGTATTATTTCTCTTCCGCACTATAGGAGTACGCTTGGAGTGAATATATCAAAGGACTCTTGCTGAGTTCCTTCTTCGTCGGCTACGTCATTTCTCAAATACCTTCTGGCTATCTATCGCGTAAATGTGGTGGCAAATTACTTCTACTCATCTGTCTCGTCAGTTGCTCACTTTTGGCCATACTGACACCATTGTGTGCCGCTATTGGAAGTTGGCAGCTGGTGTTGGCCTCTCGCATACTCCAAGGCGTCTTTCAGGGCAGCGTATTCCCTGCAGTGCATACGATACTTTCGAAATGGTCACCAGTCGATGAGCGCGATTTAATGAGTTCGTGTGCCTATTCGGGTTGTCAATTCGGTACATTTGTTATGCTGGCCAGCAGCGGTGCGCTAGCTGCTTCACAGCTCGGTTGGCCGAGCATTTTCTACATATCGGGCAGTGTTGGTCTGCTGTGGGCTGCCGTTTTCAAATTCTTTGGCTGTAGTTCACCTAAAGAATGTCGGAAACTTTCAGAGCGAGAACGGGAACTCATCTTTTCGCATTGGGGCAATTCGGAACTGCAGGTGCGTCGCAACACAATGAATCCACCGTGGTCGTCTTTCCTGAGGTCGTGCCCATTTTGGGCCCTAGTTATCGTGCACTGCACCAACAATTGGGGTCTATGGACACTTTTGACCTACATGCCAGTCTATATTAAGAATGTCTTACACATGGATATTGAAAAGAATGCTCTCTCATCTGCGCTACCATACTTCGCTATGTGGATCTTGAGTTTCGTATTTACGGCAATGTCTTTATGGCTACAAAAACGTAATTGTATATCTTTGAAAACAAGTAGAAAACTTTTCAACACCATCGGTCATGGAACACCAGCACTGACACTTTTGGCACTCGGTTACGTTGATGGGGATCATGTGATAGCTGCTGTCTGCCTTTTGACCATAACTGTGGCTATTAGCTCGGCTTCATATCTGGGCTATCAGATTAATCATATCGACTTATCGCCGAATTTCGCTGGCATATTGATGGGTATTTCTAACTGTTTAGCTAATATAACCGGTATTGTGGCGCCGCTAACGGTGGCGTTAATAATCTCAAATGAGGTAAATGGATAATAATGTTTTATTTTTGCATACGAACTTTACACAACTTGCCAGGTACAAAGAGTAGTAGATATTATTAGGTTTATTTTTATCAGGGACCGTAAATACCTCGTCTCTTTACACGGGGAAGACGAGCTAATGTTGCGTCTCCTATGCACGCAATATTGGATTCCGAGGGTGAAAAATATGATAAGGTCCATCATTCACAACTGCAAAGTCTGCACGATCTACAAGAAACGGTCGCAAGCCAACTTATGGGAATCCTTCCTAAACAACGCACAACCTTTTCCCGTGCATACACAAATACGGGTGTGGATTTCGCCACCAGAAAAGAGGATATCGGATGTCAAAAGGCTTTGATTGGCTTTTCGTGTGCTCCTCGACGCTACCAGTGAGCTTAGCATCGCGCCCTTTCAAGCCGCTTTCGTAAGATTGGTTGCTAGACGATGATGTCTTAAAAGCGTTTACTCCGACAATGGTACTAAAGTTAATGGAGCACGCAATAGCATTCACACTAAATACAGCCATCAAACCTTAGAACTGCATTTCATACCCGCTGCCGCTCCTCACATGGGCGGTTTCTGGGAAGCAGAGGTAAAAATTTTCAAAACCTACTTCGAAAAGGTCAAGTTCGATGATAAATATACTTTTTAAGAGTGCAACACTCTTGTGTGCCGTCGTGTTGAGCCTTGCCTCAAATAAAGAACACTAAGCCAATCTTCAAACGAACCGCTTAGTCCAGGCCATTTCCTAGTTGGCAGTCATCTNCAACATTTTCAAAACCTACTTCGAAAAGGTCAAGTTCGATGATAAATATACTTTTAAAGAGTTCAACACTCTTGTGTGCCGTCGTATTGAGCATTGCCTCAAATAAAGAACACTAAGCCCCTCTTCAAACGAACCGCTTAGTCCAGGCCATTTCCTAGTTGGCAGTCATCTTCTTGCTCCACCCGAAATCAACGTAAATGAAAATCCTGCATCGATCATAAAACGATAGCAGGAACTAAAGGTCCTACATCACAAATTTTTTAGGAGATGGAAAATGGAATATCTCAACGAAATGCAGAACCGCATCAAGTGGAAATATCCACACACCAACTCAAAGCAAGGAGACTTGGTCGTTGTTATATAGGAAAATCTACCACCTAACGAATGGAGATTGGGGAGAATCGTCAAACTATATCCAGGTTCCGACAGCCGGATAAGATAAGTCGACGTCGATAGAGCTAAGGGAGAAATCACTACACCGTTTGCAAAATTGGCCCTACTTCCTCCCAGCGAAAGCAGACCAATCTTTCTGTAAACTCTCCCTACTCTTCTCTACGGCTTACGGGGTCCCACATCTCAAGTGGCAATTACTGCAGCTGCCGAATCTACGATGCGAGTTGCTTCGAGAGCGCATATCTTATGCATACGTACCTAAGTAATACAAAATATTCATATGATTCCGTCACACCGAAAGTTATGTATGTAGTTTTAGTATAACCACCAGTCAAGTCAAAACTCGATAGCGCTACTACCTGTCATTATTAAGATGAATATTGGAATACACCATTATTCAATATCCGTATCACCGAAAAATAATCAAATAGGCATTTGGCTTAAAGGCGATTAAATTAGGTAAAAAATAAGAGCGGCGACGGTTCCTACGCAGGACATCCCGGGTTGACCTGATTATGTGAAATCAATCTTCCCAGATCCCTAACGTCAAAACAAAATAATAAACAAATGCTCACATCTCCTTAGAGGCAAAAGCTTGAAGGAGGTAACGGTGAAATTCTACTCGGATAAGTCCCCGATGCTAGAAAATGCATTGCTATATCAGATTTAAAAAGTTGCACGACAATGATACCCTTTATCTAAAATCTNCATTTTTTAGGAGATGGAAAATGGAATATCTCAACGAAATGCAGAAACGCATCAAGTGGAAATATCCACACACCAACTCAAAGCAAGGAGACCTGATCGTCGAACGAATGGAGATTGGAGAGAATCGTCAAACTATGTCCACGTTCCGACAGCCGGAAAAGATAAGTCGACATCGATGTAGCTATGGGGGAAATCACAACACCGTTTGCAAAATTGGTCATACTTCCTCCCAGAAACGAAAACAGAAAAAGCAGATCACTCTTTCAGTAAACTTTCCCTACTCTTCATTCCAGTTCACAAAACCCAGCTATTCCACTTCTCTACGGCTTATGGGATACCACATCTCAAATAGCAAATACTGCAGCTGCCGGATCTTCGATACGAGTAGCTTCGAGAGCGCATATCTTAAGCATAAGTACCTAATTAATACAAAATATCCATATGATTCCGTGACTCCGAACAATATGTATTTTTTTAGTATAACCCCAAAACAGTCAAAACTCGATAGCGCTACTACCTGTCATTATTAGGATGAATATTGGAATACACCCTTATTCAATATCCGTATCACCGAAAAATAATCAAATAGGCATTTGGCTTAAAGGCGATTAAATTAGGTAACAAATATAAGCGGCGACGGTTCTTACGACCCCGTTTCGGCCTGGTTATGTGGAACCGATCATCTGAGATCCTTAACGTCAAAACAAAATAAATAACTACTCACATCTCCTTAGAGGCAGAAGCTTGAAGGAAGTAACGGTGAAATTCTACTCGGATAAGTCCCCGATGCTAGAAAATGCATTGCAATATCAGATTTAAAAAGTTGCACGACAATGATACCCTTTATCTAAAATCTTATAAGCAAAATTGTGATGGATGTCGATTTGCTTAGCTGGACTCCTTTCCGCACTTATAAACACCGTGAAAATCTGGTCAATAGTTGAATTTCCAAGTCTTCGGCTACGCTGACAAAGTCCAATCAGTTAGATTTCCGTCTCCTATGTAGTATCTTTGATAGGATTCTTTACACGATGTTGGAATGTNCTTATAAACACCGTGAAAATCTGGTCAATAGTTGAATTTCCAAGTCTTCGGCTACGCTGACAAAGTCCAATCAGTTAGATTTCCGTCTCCTATGTAGTATCTTTGATAGGATTCTTTACACGATGTTGGAATGTCGTATGTAGCGTAAGCAGCCGGACCACCGATCTTCGGTCAAATATCCCTTAACGTACCGTCTGTGTCACGGCATAGTTTTCTGGTCACATTCTGGTCTGTCAGCATTTCAAGCGCTACGCACTTACGCTGTCTACCAATCTCATTATCATCTGTTAAGTGACTTTGTTTGCTCCATATTTTTCTCAAACAGCGGATCGGAACTCTACGTCATAAGAATTGTTTCAGGAGGGCGTAGTGGTGTGAATAGAGAATCTAGCGGGACAAAACTATTTGAACAGGTTCGCGTTGATGCATTTGTACACCATTTCTATCCACTAGCTTATGGGACCACTGTGTACAAATCTTCAGTCAGGTTTCAAAAATCCAATAAGGCGAACACATTTTTCCAAATTAAAAGAATTCGTTCAATACTTGTTACTCGGAGGTTTTTGGGGTTGTTGCCGCGCTATTGGAGAAACTATTCTGAAAATTTAAAGCAATGGTAAAAGCGCGCAAAAAGAGTATATTTTATCTTAAAGCGAACACTTCACAGAATTCGTTTTTATAAATTTCAAGTTCGAACTCAGTGCAACAATTTAGTTTTTTTTCTATTCGGAAATGCAAATAAAATAATTTAAAGTTCAACTTTTCACGTTGAACTTACGGAGTTATAAGAAAGTTATGTACTAAGTTTAAAAATTTATGAAACAGTTTTTCTATTACCGATAATCACTTCTCTTCATGAAATGTTTCAATAGATGCACCGTTACTTTTTTAAAAGCTGATCGAAATAAAAAAAAAAAAACCGTTTTCCTGCTACAGCTAACTGACTTGCGGCGACTAGCCAAATTATTAGCTTAATATTTTTATACCCGAGCGCACTTGTGCACAAGGGTATTATAACTTTGTTCACATAACGGTTGTTTGTAACAGGCAAAACGAATCGAGATAGATATAGACAAATGTATACATAAATGATCAGAATGAAAAGAGAAATCGATTAAGCGGTGACTGTCTGTCCGTCCGTCCGTCCGTCCGTCCGTCCGTCTGTGCACACGATAACTCGAGTAAAAATTGAGATATCTTAACGAAACTTGGTACGTGAACTTCTTTTGGGCGTGGGACGGACGGTATTGAAAATGGGCGAAATCGGATAATAACCACGCCTACCTCCCATATAACGGTAATTTTAAGAAATACGAAAACTGCGATATTTTAGTAACTACTGAAGATAATCCACTCAAAATTGATACTTACAATGAGTTTCAGACGGAAAATATGAATATTAAAAATTTTTGGAAAATGGGCGTAGCCACGCCC